ATCTTTTTAAAAATTATGTGTTTTCTAAATTGTATAAAAATAAACATGTACTTTTGTGGAAAAAGTTATTAAAAGTATATGGTTATATTATTACATATATATTTTACTATATATGGTTTCAAGTAGTTATATAGCCATAAATAAGTTAAAGCAAGTAAATTTTGAAGTTCTTTTTTTAAAGTTCTTTCCTTAATCTTGCCTATGATATATAAAAATTATTTAACATATTTTAAAATCATTATTTAAGGATTTTTATTTAGGCAAACAAAAACAAGTTATACAAAAAGAGGTAAAAATAAATCACTACATTAAAATATTATGGAGAAAAAAATAAAATAAAATATTATGGAGGACTTTGGGTAAATTTCTTTGGGGACAATTTCCTTTTTACATGATAGATATACAAAGCTACCAATTTTTCTTTTTCTTTTTCTTTTTTTTTTTCAATTTTTCAATTCTAAAGGTTAGCAGATATGAAGTTCATCCACTCAGGGGGTACTTTCTGAGTTTTTACCATGTATAAATATCAGTCCTGTTGTTTGGAGGATTAACATGAGTGTTCCTTGTACTTAAGGTACTTCCAGTCTACTTTGAAAGATCAAACATTCATGAATCATCCAGACAACAAAGCCCTAAAAATTAGAACAGAGAATAGGGTATTATAGAAGGTAAACGCCAGTGAGGTGAAGGTTATCAAAAATCTACTTATGTTCTAAAGTCCAAAAGGTCCCTCTTCCTGACAATGCCTCTTGCTGGGCAATAATTTCTAGAAGTAAGCTATCCCACTTGCTGGGTGAGGACTCTAGTTAACATCTATCACAGAGCATCCCTTCCCCTGTCCTCACTTTTGTTTCATTCATGGTGGGTCCTGGATGGACTTCAAAACAAAGTTTATTTGGGGAACACCAGACCATGTTCATCTCCTGAAGGAATGAGGAAGAAGATATATGGAGCTGTCTAGTAACACAGTCCAGATTAACTACTACTGATGGGGGTGGAAACATGGAAAGAAGGACTGCCATCACCCTCTTGATGAATGGCAACCACCCTTTCTCCTGTCCCTCTCAAACTGAGGTTGAACAACACCCCATTCTTCCAATCCTTACCTCTGAGGGGAGGATCATCCCCTCAGATGATCCTCTCAAAGTATTTAAATCTACAAGGTAAAAAAATAATAATAATAATTAAAAAATTAAAAATAAAAATAAATAAATAAATCTACAAAGTAGTGGGGGAAAGTGCTGAACTGGAAGCCCAGAGACCTACCTGAGTTTACCCTAGCTCTACCTCTAGACTCCTAGGCCTCAGTCTCCTCCTCTGTCAATGAAGGGTTGAACTGTGCAATACCCAAAGCCTATAGCTCCCTATACATTAGAAACCACAAGGTTTCTGTGAATATATGTCCAAATTATTCCCCAAACATGAATCATCCGTAAATCTCTGACCCTGTAAATACAAATTCCACCCCAATGATGGAATTGAAATGCTTAATTTTCTTACGGGTAAATTGGATACACCAAACAATTGTGTGTCTGGGAAGTCGAGGCAAAGGAAATAGCTCCTAAATCCCTCTTGTGATCAAAATGGAAAAGAAGATAGGCTGTGACATCAGCTACCATTTCCTCTATGATCAGACTAGAAGTATCAATATGAAATTATGTGTGCATACTTTTCATTTTTACCTTTCGTAACAAAATCATAGGGAATCCTTTGCTTTTAGCCTTTCAGCAAGATTATGAAGGAAGAACAGGAAAGATGAACATAATTTCAGCATTTTTGAACTGCAAATGATATTAAAGATTAGGCCCAACCCTCTCATCATTCCAATGTGGGAAAAAAAATGAAGAGTCCAAGCTGTGGCATAGCCCACTCTGATGCGAACTTCCTCGTGTGTCCTCTCCATTTGTCTCATGTAAACCAATGGTCAGTGGACTATACCGCCACCCACAGGCCAAAAAAGGAGGGGCGCCTCCCCCCCCCAAAAAAGAGGAGCCTAAGCTCTTTTAATGAGTTTTCTTCATTCCAGGTGGAGGAGCCATGCAAGGGGAAGAAAGAGTTCAGGCATTTTTTAAACAGTTCACCCTCCTAAACTGTATCCAGAATCAGTTCCTCACCTCAAGACCGACTGCTCCTTATTTCTTTCCACTACCTTCCTGTCTCCCTATAGGTAGGCTGCCAAGAACCACATACCTCTCTAAGAGAATTGTTATGAGAATAATGTTGCCCTTTAACAGGTCAGCTATTTGCCACATCACCAGTCCAGTCAATAAGTGCTGCTTCATATAGCATTGGATGAATAAAATTCAAACGCTAAAAAGTGGATCTTTTTACCAAGATACATGAGTTTTTGCTAATTTCTCCCCTCTTTGAATCCCTGTGAACCCAGGCAAGTTACTCAAAAACATCTCAGTAAAGAAAAAATGGTAGTTCTATATGAGAACTGTGTATCTAAACTCAGTCAGCATCAGGGACCTCAGTTACTGGTCGTCATTCCTTGAGGAATGAGGTCTGCCCATCACCAGCAGAAAGATTTGCCAAATCATTTTGCCAACTCATTTTGCCTCACTATTTAGATGGATGAGATATGCCTTCTTGTTACATTCTCCCTACTGCATTCTTCTTCCTGGCTGCCTTGATGTCAGACCACATTTGATAATATTTTGATTCCCATACACTCCAGACCAGAATGCCCTAGATGATGCAATTAGAAATCAAAATGCTTAGATTGTTAGAACTGAACAGGACTCTCAAGAGCATTTAATCATATCTTCTCCTTTTACAACTAAAGAAATGGAATTGCATTGAAACAGAGACTTGTCCCTCATCACATGGCTTGATGGTGGCAGTGCCAAATCTAGAGGCTGTATCTCCAGTCTTCCTGTCCAGTTTCTTTCCACAGGCCCTGCTGCTTTCCAGGGTCAGTGCAGGCTTTCTATACACTCTCAAAGTGTTGGATAGTGGCTGCTCCTTGGGAGCAGCCCCTTCCATTCCAGAGCTGCCTCTGCTATTCCCCTACATGAGTTAAGGATAGGAGAGGTTACTAAAGCCCGAATATGTAGAGGAGTTCTCTTTCTTGCCCCAATGTCTTACATTCTATCAATCAGGAAGGTGGGCAGCATTGCTTTAGTTACCAGTTACTGCAGTAAATTAATGTTCTAATTTATCTAAATCCAATGTTGTGCAATGTGCAGTCAGGAAGGCACATTCTGGTTTTTTCTTTCTTTGTTTGTTTTTTAGAGAGGGCAGCTGGCGGAGGGAGGGAGAGAGAAAAACCCAAACAGGCTCCATGCCCAGCTCAGAGCTCAAGGTGGGGCTCAATCTCACAACCCTGAAATCATGATCTGAGTTGAAATCAACAGTTGGACGCTTGACAGACTGAGCCACTCAGGCATCCCAGATATATTCTGGTTTTGAATTATGTGAGCAATTCAATCATCTGGTTTGTGTCTAAAAATTATAAATGGCTGGGCACTTGGGTGGCTCAGTGGTTAAGCATCTAGACGCCTTTGGCTCAGGTCATGATCCTGGGGTTCTGGGATCAAGTCCTGATCGAGCACCCTGCAGGGAGCCTGCTTCTCCCTCTGCCTGTCTCTGCCTCTCTCTGTGTGTCTCCCATGAATGAATAAATAAATAATCTTTAAAAAATTATATATGGCTAGTTGGCCTGCAAAATTGGGGGCTGCACTCTTTTGATGACTCTGTGACAGGGAATCTGATTGCACTAAACTTCTACCTCCTGACTCCAGTCTTGGCTATCCAGGCAGGCACTAATGGTTAAAGATTAAGAGAGGAGCAGTGGGGTGCAGGGGAAAGAGAGTGCAACTTGATATTGTAATTATCTGCATTAGAACCCTGCCCCTGGGCACCTGGGTGGCTCAGTGGTTGAGCTTCTGCCTTTGGCTCAGGTCATGATCCCTGGGGCCTGGGATGGAGTCTCACATCCAGCACCCCGTGGGGAGCCCGCCTCTCCCTCTGCCTATGTCTCTGCCTCTCTCTCTCTCTCTCTCTCTCTTTCTCCCTCTGTTTTTCACAAGTAAATGGATAAAATCTCAAAAAACCCATCACTACCTATCACTAGCAGAATGACTCTAAGCAGTGCACTTGGTTTCTCAGCTCCCCCTCCTCATCTGTGAAATGTTGAAAGGACCTGAACTTGTTTTATATATACTGTATTACTGGGCCAACATGATAATCTATCAGGATCAATTAACACCAGAAATGAGAATATAGCGATAATATGGAGTTAAAAACGTTTATGTCTGAGTCCTACAAAGGTAAATATAAAACCCTACTGCAGGGGTGCCTAGCTGGCTCTGTCAGTATAGCATGGGACTTTTGATCTCAGGGTCCTGAGTTCAAGCCCCAGGTGGGGCATAGGGCTTACTTTAAATAAACAAACAAATTTCTGTATATAATAAGATGAGGATGACAATAACATTCTAAAAAACCTATTGCATTTACTAGCTGTGTAATGCAAAGCAAGTTTCATCACCTTCATCTTTTAACTTCTCAGGAAAATCTTCAAACATGCTCAAAATAGACTAATTAAAAAGCTATATTAATCATTCTAATTGATTTTCAACATTTTTCTAATATCCTTTCATCTCCCTTCCTCAACACTCCCTCCCCCCCCCCCCCCCGCCAAGGTATTTTAAAGTATATTTGGGCAAGTTGTTTTAAAGCTCTCTGTGCTTCAGTTTTCTCACCCAGGAAATGGAGGTTTTGACACCTAACTCACGGCGTAGAACCGTAGCTATTATGATGTACGGCGGTGTCTCCGTGCACCGCCCGCTCGGAGGTGTAAAAGCCCTCTGCAGCGTACAGCGCCGGGCTCAGGACACCGGAGGACCCGGCGGCGCGCGTGACTGAGAGACCACGACCGCCCTCTTCAGGCAGCTCCCCGCAGACCCTCTCAGGCAGGAAGAGGATTGTCCCTCGCAGCCCCCCGTCGCCGCGCGCGAACACGAGGGGCGGGAACAGGAAATGGGGTGGGGCCGAGTTCCGGGCGCCCGGCAGCCTCTGAGGAGAGCGGAGCGTGGCCGCTGCGAGGCTGAGAAGCAGAGCCGTGATGTTCCGCATCGAGGGCCTCGCGCCGAAGCTGGACCCGGAGGAGATGAAACGGAAGATGCGCGAGGATGTGATCTCGTCCATACGGAACTTTCTTATCTACGTGGCCCTGCTGCGAGTCAGTGAGTGTCCTTCCCGGGCTGCGGCCGCGAGACCCGCGGGGAGCTCGCGGACATGGCCCGCCCGACTCTGGTCCTGGGGTTCTGTGGGGGCCGCGAGCTGAGCGGTCGCGGGGAGGGTAGGACATGTGTGTCGAGGAGAGCGGGCGCAGGCGCAGCTGGGGGTCTGCGGGTCGGGGTCCGGGTACAGAAGTGCCTGCGGTGGCTCGGCCTGCGAGGGTAGTCCCGCCTCGCCCTGCCTTAAGAGCGTTTGAATGGAAAGAGCCTCGAGGGTGACTACCTCCGCCTCGCAGCAGCTCTCGTTTTGCCGACAGAAACGGAGAGCTCGAATGGAGAAATGGCTGGCTCAAGGTCACTCAGAGATCCAGTGAACGATCTTGATCTAGAATCCACAGTCCTTAATACCACGTTTCCTTCCTTCAGTGCTGACCTCTGAGATACAAAAAAATATTGCTTATTTGTACAGAGGGTGGGGTAAATAATTGCTTTTTTTCTTTATTTTCTTATTTTCTTTTTTTTTTCTTTTTGGAAGAAATGAGAAGGAAAGGGCATGAGTCTATATGGTTAATAATAATAATTCCTGAAGGTTTATTTGAATTTACGTTTGGCCGAAGCATATTTTTGCGTTGTCTGGTCTTGACAGTAGTGCTTTGAGGGAGACCAGGCTTAAGATTCTGTATATCCCGCTTGCAAATGAGAACTCACCTTTCAGAGGGTCTTAACACAAAATGTCAGAGCTAAAGGCACACTGGATATTAGAGCTGGGTGCACCTCTGTAGGTCACGTCTCTAGCTTTGCTGGTAGGAATCTCAGAAGTGATTTGCACCCCACCCCCCAATTCTCACTTCACCTCTCTTTTCATTGCACCTTGTTGTGTTTTGCGAACATGTCTGGTGGAGAGGCAGAAGTGATTCAGATAAATAAAGGCCATACCGAGGTCATCCTGTAGAAGGCTCATGTTGGGCTTAGGCCCGAGCTCACTGAAGCTTGGTACCCCATCACTGACTATGATATTACCTTGCTTCCCCAGGAGAGGGAGCCCTGCTGAACAGAAACCCAAATCTTCAGCTTTTTTTTTTTTTTTTTTTTTTTTTGCGACTCCCAACTTATTTTTCTCTTCTTACTTTTTTTGTTGACTTAGCTGCCAGTAAAACATTTGCTTCTTTTCGGTGACCTTTGTATCTGATATGAATTAGTTTTCTTAGGGAAAAAAAAAAAACAGAGAATACTGTTTCACATTACCACTTTTTATTTTATTTTTTTAAAATATCGGGGATCCCTGGGTGGCACAGCGGTTTAGCGCCTGCCTTTGGCCCAGGGCGCAATCCTGGAGACCTGGGATCGAATCCCACGTCGGGCTCCCGGTGCATGGAGCCTGCTTCTCCCTCTGCCTGTGTCTCTGCCTCTCTCTCTCTCTGTGTGTGTGTGACTATCATAAATAAATAAAATTTAAAAAAATAAAATAAAATATTTATTTATTCATGAGAGACACAGAGAGAGAGAGAGAGAGAGAGAGAGGCAGAGACACAGCCAGAGGGAGAAGCAGGCTCCATGCAGGGAGCATGACGTGGGACTTGATCCTGGGTCTCCAGGATCAAACCCTGGGCTGAAGGCAGCGCTAAACTGCTGAGCCACCTTACCACTTTTTAAAAGAAGATATAATTTACATGTATACAGTTCACCCATTTAAAGTGTGCAGTTCAACCTAAGGGTCTATCCATAAACGGACAAAGAAGATGTGTGTATATACAGTGGAATATTACTTAGATATAAAAATCTTCCCATTTGCAACAACATGGATGGACCTATAGGCTATCATGCTGTGTAAAATAAGTCAGAGGAAGATAAATATCATATGATTCCACTTATATGTGGAATCTTCAGAAACAGACTGATAAACACAGACAGCAGACTGGTGATTGCCAGTAGGGAGTAGAGTGGGAGATAGACAAAATAGGGGAAGGAGCTTAAAAGCCATAGACTTAAAGTTACAAAAAAACAAGTCACTGGGGTGCAATGTATGGTATAGAGATAACATAGACAATACTGTAATAACTTTATGTGATAACTAGACTTATTGTGGGGATCATTTCATAATATATAAGAAATTGAATCACTGTGACATACACCTGAAACTAACAGGGTACTGTGTGTCGATTATATTTTATTTATTTATTTTTATTTTTAGGTTTTTTTTATATTTTATTTAAAAAGAAAATTTTTGGATCCCTGCGTGGCTCAGCAGTTTAGCGCCTGCCTTTGGCCCAGGGCGTGATCCTGGAGTCCCGGGATCGAGTCCCACATGAGACTCCCTGCATGGACCCTGCTTCTCCCTCTGTGTCTCTGCCCCTCTCTCTCTCTCTCTCTCTCTTTCTTTCTTTCTCTCTCTCTCTCTCATGAATAAATAAAATCCTGAAAAAGAAAAAGAGAGAAAGAAAGAAAGAAATAAATAAAGAAAGAGAAAGAAAAATTTTAAAAAACAAAGGGTATAATTTAGTGGTTCTTAGCATAGTCAGGGTTGTGCAACCATCACCACAATCCATTTTAGAACATTTTCTTTACCTCTAAAGGGGATACCATGCCCATTAGCTGTCATTCCCCCATTTTCTCCCTTCCCTTTCCCTTGGCAACCACTAACCTATTTTTTCTTTATGGATTTGCCTTTTCTGGACATTTCACAGAAATAGAATTGTAGAATATGTGACCTTTTGTGTCTAGCTTATTTTATTTTGCATAATGTTTTCAAGGTTCATCCATATTACAGCACATATTAGTATTTCCTTCATTTTTATGGCCAGGTAATATTCCATTGTGTGGATGCGCCACATTTTGTTTATTCATTTAATGAATGTTACTTTTTTAATCTGACAAAAATTAGAAATATATGGGCATACTGCTGACTTTGCCAGCTTTCAATAGATCTCAGTATCTTCAGTTTAATGTTAAAAATATGTTTTATTGCTTTAGTATGGGTATTGAGAAAGAAGATCCTTCAGGCCACTTTTTTGGTCATGGCCCCTTCTAGTTTCTAATTTTTTAAATTGTGGTAAAATACATATAAAATTTATTTTTAAATGTACAGTTTAGTGGTATCAAAAACATTCATAATGTTATACAACCATCACCACCATCTCCAGAACTCTTTATCTTGTAAAACCAAAACTCTTTCTGTGATTTTGACATCTCTTAAGGCTCTCATATAAGTGGAATCATACAATATTTGTCTTTTTGTAACTGGCTTATTTGACTTTGCAGAGTCCTAAGGTTCATCCATGTTATAGCATATGTCCGAATCTCCTTCCTTTTTAAGGCTGAATCATATTTTAAAATATACCACAGTTTGCTATCCATTCATCCGTCTTGGATTCAGATTGCTTCTACATTTTAGCTACTGTGAGTAATTCTGCTATAACATGGATATACAGATATCTCTTTTTAATTTTTTGAGGACCCACCATACTGTGATCCATAGCAGCTGTACTATTTTACATTCCCACAAACAGTGCACAAGGATTCCCATTTTTCCACATCCTTGCCAACAGTTTGATAGTAGCCATCCTAATGGGTGTTAAGTGGTATCTCATTGTAGTTTTAATTTGCATTGTCCTAGTGATTGGTGATGTTAAACATCTTTTTGTGTGCTTTATATTTCAGCCAGAGCACTTTTAATATAGGACAGTCATAACACTTCTTTAGATTTAGATCACTCTAACAACATTTTTGTTTTCTAGCCCTTTCTCTTTGCACCTTCCTACCAAACCCTATAAGAACTGAAGTAGGATTGTGTCATAAATGATTTGGATTACATAAGTGATATATAGCTTTATTTATTTGGGAGAGGGGAACAGAGGGAAATGGAGAGAGAGAGAATCCCAAGCAGACTCTGTGCTGAGCAGGGACCCCTGGTGCTGGGCCCAGTCTCAGACCCTGAGATCGTGACCTGAGCTGAAATCAAGAGTCAGACCTTTACCAACAGAGCTACCCAGCACCCTTCAGATAGGTTTTTTTTTTAATTTTTTTTTTTTATTTATTTATGATAGTCACAGAGAGAGAGAGAGAGAGAGGCAGTGACATAGGCAGAGGGAGAAGCAGGCTCCATGCACCGGGAGCCCGACGTGGGACTCGATCCGGGGTCTCCAGGATCACGCCCTGGGCCAAAGGCAGGCGCCAAACCGCTGCGCCACCCAGGGATCCCTCAGATAGGTTTTTAAAGGTGAAAAATGGCAATTTGTTTTTTCTAGTGTTTTATTCCTTTAACGGTTAAATCACCCAAAGTAAAAAGAGTGTCCTTTAAAGGAGGATTGAATTTGTTCTTTATGGTCGTAAGAGAACTACCTGGAGAAAAGATTTTATATAGTGTAAAAGTGGACCTTAGAATATAGTCAGAGCTTCATGACATTGGAAAGATGGTGAGTCTCTTTTACTAGGTTTGTAGTCTCAGGTTTGGCCATTATTTGGAGTTGTTTTTAAAAATGTAGTAAACTAAATCTCTAAGATTTCCCCTCCAGTCTTATAAATTCTGTAATGTAACTTTTGGGCTAATAGATCTGAAACTCTGGGTTTATTTTTCTTTCAGCACCTTTTATCCTAAAGAAATTGGACAGCATATGAAGATGGGTATCATATGTGAATGCGAGATATGAGGAATCCAGTTACAATTTCTACTCGATCTGCAAATGAATAGGCCCAGAAAGATGTAAGAGACTCTTTGATGAATGGACATAAAAATTCTACTTGTTAAGAACAAGTGTGGCTCTGGTAACTGACCTTCATAGCTAAAGTTTAAAAATACTTGGGAAGTAAAGACATCTTGTGGTGATATTACACCCATATGCCTGTGATGTTCAGCTTCTGTGAATGTTGATATAATTGTAAGTAATGTCAAACTCTATTTTCTAACAAGTATTAATTATAAGGGAATTCTGTCTACAATAGCACTGTCTTGCTAATTTCTGTTTACATTTTTACTTCTTTCTGGAGTACATATGCTGAATTGTTCCTTATGATTAGTTATATTTTACAAAAGCCAGCACACAGCCACAACAACACTTGAGCACAGGACCATTGGTCTATATTTTTAATTAAAGTATCAACTAAGAAAAAAATTGGGATTTTATTTCTCTTAACCTACTTTTTGCTGCAGACCTCTTTGATATTGTAATTATTACAAACTACATTAAACTGAGTTCCTCTTGTTTTGGACTGAAGGATTTGCTGATGCTGATAAAGTGACATTTTTTTATTGTTGAGCAATCTTTATGTATAAAAGGCAACGTTACTGCTTGATGCTGGGAATCTATAGTACCACCAAAGGAAAAAATGCTGTATTTTACATCAGATAGTTCTCTAAGTTTATTGGAGGAAGGGGACAGTCCTTAACCTTCATCCCAGAGGCAACTACAGTTACCTCTTTTTTAGCTAATTTTTTTTGGTATTTACCTTCATGTCTCTAAACAGCATGATTATATTGTTATTTTTTGATTTTTCTCTTTAGACCTTGCCTTCTCCATGTATGGAAGAATTAGGTCTCTTTCCTCTCCTTAACTCCATCACTCTTACCTCTCCTCATTTCTTCTTCCTTCCAGTGTACCTAGTGTGCTTTTGTTTGAATTAATTTCATAAGAACTCTAAATGCTGTTTGTTTTCTTTTCCTATACGTCTTTTTGTTTTCCTAGGCTTCATTTTCTACGAACTTACCACTAAATCAACTAGACTTTTTGCCAAGTATCTAAATTGATCCCAGTGTTCAGTTTCACTAGATACTCTGTTTGATCTTGTCAAGTAAGTCTTTCCTAGGGCTTTCTGACCTGTCCCAGTCTGGACTGTAGTCTCCTGTACCTGGTAAAGGGCTGTATTCTGGGAACTCCCTTCACTGCAATCCTGAGAATTCCTTTCCTCTTCTCCCATGTTGGATCTCTTGTTTCTGTATCTTGTTTTCTTTATCTCCTGTCTAGTATGCATTTGAGTCTCTGCATTGAGTATAGCACTTCTGCCCATCCCTGCCTGGCATCCCATAATCCAGAGAACCCTCTATTTTACCCTTTTCAGAAAATAAACTACTTATGGAAGGGAGCTGAGCAAGAAGCTGCTTAGTTATGTAGAATTGCAGAGAGCATTCCAAATACTTAGATCTTCAACCAATCCTTATTTTAGTGTCTATTCCTTCACTCCTACTTCGAAAGGTAGATGAAGATCTTGGTTCCTGAACCTTTTAGGGATTCTGGGATGTAAATTGGGTTGTTTGTTTTAGTTTTCTTGGGGCTACCATGTTATTTGCTACTTGTCTGTTTCCAACTTCTAACATTTTGCTATTGTCTCCTCTCTTCTTTCTTTTTTTTTTCCCCTCTCTTCTTTTTCAATTATGCCTTAAAATGAAAATCTTTACTGTCATTTAATAGAATTTCAGGAGGGAGTGGAAGTAGATTTATGCTCGATCTACCATCTTTACCCAAATAGCATATGTTTTTACCCTGTGATGCTGTGTTTCATGTTGGTAATTTAGATCCATTCCTGACCTAAGGAGGTGCGGTAAATAGCACCATGGTCACAGTCACTGGCCCTAAAGACAAGCAGACTTGATTTTGTTTCCTGATTCCAACACTTAGGAGATGAATGACTTTTAGCAAATGAACCTCTATATCTCATTTTCTTCACCTATAAAATTAGCATAGTGGGAATATCTGTCTACTTCAGAGTATGTAAGGATAAAGTAAGAGAATGCAAGTGGAGCCATTAGCACAGTGCCTAACATTTGCCAAATGCTGTTTATTGTTAATGGTTAGTGTTTGGTATAAGGTGATGAGAAGTGATTTGTGCTAGCAGTCACCGCATTAGTAGGTTTCATTCATATTTTCAGATGTTGTGAGATAGCATGCTTAATTCTAATTATATGCAAACTTCAACATTACTTAAATTCATTATCTAATAACATTGTTAATTTTGCAGATGAGGAGTTTGAGACTCTGGAAGATTTGGTGGCTAATATCAGCTGTCCCAAGGTTGAGGGGCTTTTAATGCTTGCTTTTTGTATTCCTATCCTTAAGTGCTTTTCTTGGGATGTGTGATTGTTACCCTGGCTAGGGTTCAGGCTAGGGTAAGGGAAATGTGATGGTATGCTTTTTTTTATCACTGACTTTTTAAAAATGCAGGTCATAAACTCCACAGGGTTGTGGGGTATCTAATACTTAATAAACAGTTTGAACATGGTACATCAGAAAACAATTGGCCATGTGCATACATTTGGTTTGAAGGTGTATTGTGAAATAGGAAAGGACCATAGCAGATTGGAGTTTTGTAAACTTAAAATGGAGCATAAAAAGAAATGTGGATAATTGGGAGAAAATATTATTCCACAGATTTTATAGAGGGATACAATCTTAGAATTTTGCTCCTCAATCAGGTTAGTGTTCTTCCTACTACCACTGAGTTTCATTATTAAACTCCTTATCATTGCTTTTTGAAGTTCTTCCATAAGTAAGTTACCATTTCAATAACACTGTTCCATAGGTTACAGGTGGGCAAACATGGGCCTAGATTTGGAAGGAAGAACAAGTGTAGGAGTGTGAACTTTCTTCCCCCTCCTTTGCTTGAGCTAAGCATATCTGTTTACCTCTAAGATCAGGCAGGCACCAGATAGATACAGTAGATGGTACAGAAAGGAAATCAGCTAGACATTTTAACCTTCTGGTAAGGGTCAAATGATAAATACTTTAGACTTTGTGAGCTCTGTGCCCTGTCAACTCTTCTTGCAGTGTGAAAGCAGCCATAGACAACATGTAAACCAGTGCAGCTTTGAGCTGTCAGCAGCCAAAACTCTTAGCTGCTGGGGGAATGAGTGCCTTGGTCCTAAGGTTGAGATCTGGGTCATTCACCACAACATCCACCATAGTCCTCTTGAATCCTCACCCCTCCACATCTAGCATGCCATTTCTCTGTTCTCTTTCATAGTTCAATGCCTCAGTGAATTGTTTTTTTTTTCCTTTTAAGATTTTATTTATTTATTTATTCATGAGACACACACAGAGAGAGAGGTATTGAGATAGGCAGAGGGAGAAGCAGGCTTCCATGCAGGGAGCCTGACATGGGACTCTATCCCGGGACTCCAGGATCATGCCCTGAGCCGAAGGCAGATGCTCAACCACTGAGCCATCCAGGGATCCCGAAGTGGTTTATTTTCATTTCCTTTCTTTGGTGGTCTGTTGAGCCCACTCCAGTTAGGCTTATATCCCCAGTGATCCTCTGAAACTGATCTTGTCAAGGTTAACACTGACCTGTCTCACACTGTCTGCTGCACTGGACACACTTTCATTATTGTAACGACCTTGCAGACCTTCCATAACACTAATCTCCTAATTTTCTTTCCACCCTTTCTATTCCACTTACCCACTCTTTTTCAGGTTCTTTTGTGGGTTCCTCCTTATTTCTAACATGAAACTTGCAGTACCCCAGCCTTTAGTCCTCAGATCTCTTCTCTTTATTCATTGAATCTCCTGCTTAAAATTCTCCAAAACCTCCCTATCTTGCTCAGTAAAAGCCACAGTGCCTACAGTTGCCTACAAGGTCCTGTACAGTCTGGTCCTCATTACATCTCTGATCTCCTCTTTTATGACCCTTGCCTTCTTCACAGGATTCCAGCTACACTGGCCTCCTAGCTTCCTCAAACAAACTAGACATGGTCCTCAGGTCCTTTGCATTGGCTGTTTCCTCTGTCTGGAATGTTCTTCCCTTAGATTTTTAAATGTCTCACTTCTTCAGGTCTCTGCTTAATGGCATTTTTTTTTTTTCAGTGAGACCTTTCCCACTGTTTTATAAGTTATGGGATGTTTCAACTTGTGAAAATCCAGCAAGTTGTATACTTATGCAATTTCTTTTGTTATCTATCTCCCTTCATTTAGTATATGCTTTATGAGGGTAGGGATTTTGTCTGTTATGTTCACTGTAGTATCTTAGTACCTAGAAGGCATCCTGGCACCTTATAGGTATGGAGTATTCATTAAATAGAATTAGAATGAAGACGTTTTTAAATTAGTTATGAGAAGTGTGAGAATAAGTTAACTAGAGAAAGCTAAGCTTGTCAGATGAGATTGGTACCCCAGTTAAGATGGGGGATTATGAATCTGCAGTGCCTCAATGTGGCCTTTTTCTCTAGCACTGCTTTGCTGTCCAAAGGCAGGCTCAGAGAGCGTAGAGAGTTGGGTCATCCAGAGCTGGGGCTTGCCACATGGCTGAGGTGAAATGACAGGGTGAGGGAGTGATTGAAATAATGCACAAGCCATCTAAGCTGGATCAGGAAGAAAAGGAAGGAGCTGATGGGCAGAAGAAAATAGAGGGGTCAGTGCTGCTGAGGTCAACTGCAAGAGTGGGAACAGTGGAGCAGCAGCCCTGAAGACCTCTTTATGCCTGAAATATCTTTCCTTCACTTTCCATGTAGATAAAAGTTCCTCTTCTCTGAAATAGAATCCATTCATTTTGTGTTCTAAAAGAAAGAAATATCACCAATGTTGTGTGGCCTTTCAGGTTGTTAGCACAGGAGATGGTATATTTGAGTTTGTTGGTTTTACAGCTAAGTATGTTTTGGAGGGGAGGGTTCTGACAAGGACCACATCCGGCCCTACTACCACAACTTACTCTTCCCCAATTTATATGTTCATTTAGGAGGAAAGAAAATCGCTAAGTGCAAATATGTTCATGATACCAGGAGACTGAAGACTAATTTTTATGGGACAGTGCGGAAACATCATGGAGACTACTGCTGCATGTGATACAGCAATGGGAGTTTATAAGATGCTTTTCTTCCCAAAATTCAAATTGCATTGCCTCTGATTATTTGAGCCGATGGGATAGAAAGCAATACATAGATAATTTAAAATAATAAAAATATTGCAAAGAAAAAGTTTTTAGGAATGTGGTAGATAAGAAAACAAGGAAATATAGGAAATGATCAAATGAATTGTTCATCATAGTATTAGTACAATGCAGCTTTTATATAACTTCAGTGTACTTCTGAGTAAAATTTAATAGGGTTAATATATATTTACATCAGCAAAAATTTTATAAATACTCAATTTTCATAATTATTCTTTTCATTGGTCTGAAGCAAATGACAAAGAATCTTTATTGAACATGAAAGTAAAAGTACAAATAAGATCTTAAGCCTACTAAGTCTAAAAAATTATTCTTAATAAAATATTGTTACTAGCTTAGTGAA